ATTCACAGGTAATCTCAACTTTTAAGAAAGTAAATATCACCAACCGTGTAAAAGCATTCCTATTTTTCCACATCCTCTCCAGCATCTGTTGTTTCCTGACTTTTTAATGATTGCCATTCTAACTGGCGTGACATGGTATCTCATTGTAGTTTTAATTTGCATTTCTCTAATAACCAGTGATGATGAGCTTTTTTTCATGTTTGTTAACTGCATAGATACCTTTTTTTGAAAAGTGTCTGTTCATATCCTTTGCCCACTTTTTGATGAAGTGGTTTTTTTCTTGTAAATTTGTTTAAATTCCTTGTAGATTCTGATTATTAGTGCTTTGTCAGATGGATAGATTGCAAAAATTTTCTCCAGTCTGTAGGTTGCCTGTTCACACTGATAATAGTTTTTTTTGCTGTGCAGATGCTTCTTAGTTTAATTAGGTCCCACTTGTCAATTTTGGCTTTGTTGTCTTTGGTTTTAGTGTTTTAGTCATGAAGTCTTTGCCATGCCTGTGTCCTGAATTGCCTAGGTTTTCTTCTAGGGTATTTATGGCTTTAGGTCTTACATTTAAATCTTTAAGACTTCTTGAGTTAATTTTTATGTGAGTTGTAAGAAAAAGGTCCAGTTTCAGTTTTCTGCATATGGCTAGCCAGTTTTCCCAACACCGTTTATTAAATAGGTAATTCTTTCCCCATTGCTTGTTTTTGTCACATTTGTCAAAAATCAGATGGCTGTAGATGTGTGGTGTTATTTATGAGCCTCTGTTCTCTTCCATTGGGGTATATATCTGTTTTGGTACCAGTACTGTACTGTTTTGATTACAGTATACTTGTGGAAGACAGTACGGTGATTCCTCAAGGATCTAGAATGAGAAATACCATTTGACCCAGCAATCCCATTATTGGGTATATATCCAAAGGATTACAAATCATTCTACTGTAGAGACATATGCACATGTACGTTTATTGCCACAGTATTCACAATAGCAAAGACTTGGAACCAACCCAAATGCCCATCAATCAATGATAGACTGGATAAAGAAAATGTGGCATATATACACCATGGAATACTATGCAGGCATAAAAAAGAATGAGCTCATGTGCTTTTCAGGGACATGGTTGAATCTGGAAACCATCATTCTCAGCAAACTAACACAAGAACAGAAAACCAAACATTGATGCTCTCACTCACAAGTGGGAGTTGAATAATGAGAACATGTGGGCACAGAGAGGGGAACATCACACCTCAGGACCTCTTGAGGGGTGCAGTGCAAGGGGAGGGATAGCATTAGGAGGAATACCTAATGTAGATGATGGGTTGATGGGTACAGCAAGCACCATGGCGCATGTATACCTATGTAACAAACCTGCACGTTCTGCACATGTATCCCAGTATAATAATAAAAAAAGATACTCTAATAAAGCAACTATTTAAAATTTTTAAAAAAGTAATTATTTCTTCAGGAAACTCTTCTGTTTTGCCTTAACTCTCCTCATTCCTGATCCTTAGTTAGAGGTACAGTAGCCTGTTTATTTCCTCTGTGATAATTATAGGAAACTCTTTGTGCTTTAGTTTTCTCATCTGGAACAATATTAGAGCTTACACATTATGTAATAATATTAACCACTTTAGTGCTTATTGTGAAAATTAAATGAGTACATTTAGAAGGCTTAAAGCAGGGGTCAATAAACTTCTTTTCTAATGGGCCACAGAGTTAATATTTCAGGCTTTGTGAGTCACATATAATTTGTCTCTCATATTATTCCTTTCATTTTCTTTTTCCCATAATCCCTTAAAAATGTAGATTTAGTTTTAGCTTATTGTCTATGTGAAACAGAATGCTGACTGGATTTTGCCACAGGCAATAGATTGATGATCCTTGGAACAGAGTCAGGTATATAGTAAGTGTTCAATAAATGTTAGATGTTATTATAAATTACATAGTACAATTTTTCATTTATTATCTGTTTACTTTGAAAAATTGTACCTCATTAAAATTTAAACTCCTTGAGGGAAAGGATAGTATCTGTATTCACCAGTGATTTCAGTGTCTAACACATATGCCTGCTCTCTCTCTCTTTCTATATATATATATATATATATATATATATATATATATAATACATTTTATATATTACATTTATATATAAAATATATAGGTATATAATATACATTGTATATAAATGTATATTACAAATATACATTGGTAATATTAACATAAAATTAGTGAAAATAAGATAGATGATTCAGTTAATTCCATAAAATTTATTTAATATGTGATATTGGTTTGGGAATGATCGATTAGTTTTTTTGGGGGGCAATGAAAAAAATTGAGTCCACTGTTTATTGAAAAATAAAATGCAGCTCAATCAATCAATGAATTAAAGTTAAAAATAAAATGATAGGGGAGGCAAAGCATGGTGGGCAAATAGAAGCCTCTAGCAATTGTCCTCCCAGCAGGAACACCGAAAAATTATCCACACTAAAAACACCTACATTAGAACCAAAATTTAGGTGAGTGAGGAGTGATCACAGTACCTTATTTTAACTCATATTAAAGAAAGAAACACTGAAAAGGATAGGAAAGATGGTCTTGAATCATCTGCACTATCCCTCCTTTATACCCCAGCAAAGCAACTTGTCATAAAGAAAGAATTTGTGTGCTTAGGGGAGGGAGAGTGCAGTGATGTGAAATCTTGCATTGAAACTCAATGGTGTCCTGTCACAGTGGAAAGCAACAGGAGGCAGAGCTCAGCTGATGCCCATCGAGGGAGCATTTAGGCCAGCCCTAGCCAGAAGCAAATTCTCCAGTCTAGTAGTTAGACCTGAGTTGTGGCAAGTTCTGCCACCACAGGTTGAAGTGCTCTGGAATCCTAAATAAACTTGAAAGGTAGCCTAGGCCACAGGATTGCAATTCTTAGATAAGTCTGGTATAGAGCTGGGCTCAGAACTGGTGGACTCAGAGTGCATGTGACCTAGGGAGATACCAGCTGGAGAAGCTAAAGGAGTGCTGTGTTACAGTGCGGCTTGCAGCTCTAGGACAGATTCTCCTCTGCTTAGGGAGAGGAGAGGGGAGAGTAAAGAGGAGTTTTGCTTGTAACTTGGATACCAGTTCAGCCACAGTAGCATATGGCACCAGGCAGAGTCCTGTTCATCATCTTCTGACTGAAGAAAGAGATCTTGGGCCTGACTAATCAGCAATGGGATAGACAGGCTGTACTTGCCACAGATTTGAGTGAGACTCATCATAGCCATGCTGGCTTCAAGTGTGACCCAGTACATTACCAGCTGTGGTAGTGATAGGGAGAGACCCCTTCCACTTGAGAAAAGGAGACAGAGAGTAAAGGGGACTTTGTCTTGTAGCTTAGGTACCGGGTTGGCCACAGTGGCATAGAGCTTCAAGTGGGCTTCCTGGGTCCTTGGTTCCAGTTATTGGCTCCTAAATGTCATTTTTGAACTTGTACTGGGGCAGAGGGAGCCTAATGCCCTCAAGGGAGAAACTCAGGCCTGGTGGCATTCACCAAGGGCACATCGAAGAGCCCTTGGGCATGAGTAAACATTGTCAGTTGCAGGCAATACCTGCCTCAGGTAAAGGTGGTGGTGGTCATAGGGAGAGACTTCTCTGCTTGAGGAAAGGGGAGGGAAGAATGAGGAGGACTTTGTCTTGTGGCTTGGGTGCCAGCTCAGCTCCAGTAAGTAGAGCACCAGGTAGATTCCTAAGATTCCTAACTCCAGGCCCTACCTCAGAGGGGATTCCCCAGACCCACCAGGGGCTAAGGAGAACACATTGCCTGGAAGGGAAGGACACAAGTTTGCCTGGATTTACCACCTGCTGGATGTAAAGTCCTTGGGCCTTGAGTGAACATAGGTGCTAGCCAAGCAGTGGTCACTGTAGGCCTTGAGTGAGAACCAGTAGTGTGCTGTCTTTGGGTATGACTCAGTGCAATTTCAGTGTTGGGGTCTACAAGCGTACTTGTAACACTTCTCCCCCAGCTCCAGATCAGCACAGAGACAGAAACTTTGTCTGGGGTAAAGTAAAAAAAGAGGACAAGTCTCTGCTAAGTAATACAGGGAATTTTTCCGTATATTATCCAAGACCATAAAGTCAGTACTTCTATGAGTCTGCAATGACCACGCATTACTGGGCTTGAGGTGCCCTCTAAAACAGATGTGGCTACATTGACCAAAGTAGATCACAACACCCAAGTCCCTTTAGAATATCTGGAAAGCCTTCCCAAGGAGGAGAGTTACTAAAAAGCCCAGATTGAGGAAACTGCAATAAATACCCAGATCTTCAATGTCCAGACACTGGCAAACATCCAAAAGCATCAAGATTATCCAGGAAAACATGACCTCCTCAAAGAAACTAAATAAGTAACCAGTAACCAATCTTGGAGAGATAGAGATATAGTACCTTTCAGACAAAGCCTTCAAATTGGATGTTTGGAGGAAGATCAACAAAATCCAAGATAACAAAGAGAAGAAATTTAGATTCTATCGAATGAATTTAACAAAGAGATTGAAAAAATTTGAAAGAATGCAGCAGAAATTCTGGAGTTGAAAAATGCAATTCACATTTTTGAAGAAAGCATCGGAGTAACCTAACAGCAGAATGCATCAAGCAGAAAAAGAAATTAGTGAGCTTGAAGACAGACTACTTGAAAATACACAGTCAGAGGAAACAAACAAAATGAATATAAAAGAATAAAGCGTTCTTGGAGAGAGATCCAAGATGGCTAATTACTAGCAGCTCAGGATTGTAGCTCCTAGTGAAAGCGCAGAGAACGAGAGGATGCCACACTTTCAGACGAATTTTAGTTGCCTACGGGCCAGGAGATTCCCAGCGGAGGAGCCCCATGGGTTGCTAGCACAACTCTTGTGGCCAGCGCAGCAGTTCTTGCTGCAGAGTAAACAGGACTGGGTCCCCTTTTGGTCGACGTTTGGAGCTCCGGGAAGGCAGAGTCGCCCATTCAGCTGACTGAAAAAGGGACTCAAGAAGGAAGCCAGTTAACTTGAATACAAGGTCAAAATCAGCAACAAGTTCTACAATCCAGTGCTGATATCAGAAACAAGCTTCAAGGACAATTTCTTTTCGAAGGCTCATTCCAGTTTCATGAGGCTAGCATGAGGTGTATGCATTTGCCAGGGGCAAATTTATACTTCCGAATTAACCCATGCAGCAAATGCTACGCATCTGCTCGCAGTCCGTTTAGAAGCATTTGCGGTGGACGATGGAGGGGCCGGACTCATTGTACTCCTGCTTGCTAATCCACATCTGCTGGAAGGTGGACAGTGAGGCAAGGATGGAGCCGTCAATCCACACGAAGTACTTATGCTCTGGGGGTACAATGATCTTGATCTTCATACTGTTGGGTGCCAGGGCAGTGATCTCCTTCTGCATCCTGTCAGTGATGCCTGGGTACATGGTGCTGCCACCAGACAGCACAGTGTTGGTGTACAGGTCCTTACAGATGTCCACGTCACACTTCATGATGGAGTTGAAGGTGGTCTCATGGATGCCACAAGATTCCATGCCGAGAAAGGAAGGCTGGAACAGTGCCTCCGGACACTGGAACCACTCGTTACCAATGGTGATGACCTGGCTGTCGGGCAGCTCATAGCTCTTCTCCAGAGAGGAGGAGGATGCGGCTGTGGCCATCTCCTGCTCGAAGTCCAGGGCGATGTAGCACAGCTTATCCTTGATGTTGCATACAATCTCCTGCTCGGCCGCGGTGGTGAAGCTGTAGCTGCACTCGGTGAGGATCTTCATGAGGTAGTCGGTTTAACTGTTCTCCTTGTTATTTGTTTAATACCCTGTACATATCTTTGATTTCAACCTTTAGTACATGTGGCTTGGTCACTTCGTGGCTGAGGTAAAAACGTGCTTGTGGGCAGACAAGTCTGGCTTGGTGCGTCTGCGTGGCCAGCAGTCTCCTATCTTTGCAGGGTATTCATGTGTCAGGGCCGAGTGTTCTGGGATTGCTCTAGAAGCTGGCAATTGCCTGTCTGTCAGCGTTGGAAAGTCCAAGCCATAGGACCCGGTTTCCTTTCTTAGCTGTTTTCCTGCCAGAACACCGTGGGCTGTTACTTGCCTTGAGTTGGAAGCGGTTTGCATTTACACCTGTAAATGTATTCATCCTTTTAATTTATGTAAGGTTTTTTTTTTGTACGCAGCTCTCAATTCTTTAAATAGATGACAACAAATTTTGGTTTTCTACTGTTATGTGAGAACATTAGGCCCCAGCAGCACATCATTGTGTAAGGAAGAATAAAAGTGCTGCCGGAAAAAAAAAAAAAAAAAAAAAAAGAAGAAGGAAGCCAGCCTGGAGATTCCCAGGAAGAAAAGCATCATGGATCTTAACGCTGCTGTTCTAGCGGGCACAGTGGGTTGCTCAGATTCTGGCACTGGGAATCAACAAGTTGGATGTCCACTCAGAGACCTAATTTGAAAGTCGGTAATTACAAAGACGACAGGTGTATAAATTTATAATGATGGGAAGAAACCAGCATAAAAAGGTTGAGAATACCCAAGGTCAGAATGCTTCTCCCTCTACAGGGGATCACAGTTCCTCATCAACAAGGGAACAAGGCCTGATGGAGAACGAGTGCATTCCAATAACAGAATTAGGCTTCAGAAGGTGGATAATAAGAAATGTCTGTGAGTTAAAAGAACATGTTCTGGCCCAATGTAAAGAAACTAAGAACCTTGAAAAAAGGTTTGATGAAATCCTAATGAGAATAGACAATGTAGAGAGGAATATAAGTCAATTACTGGAACTGAAGAATACAATACGAGAACTCCAAAAAGTATGCACACGTTTTAACAGTCGAATTAATCAAGCAGAAGAAAGGATATCAGAGGTTGAAGACCAACTTAATGAAATGAAACGAGAAGACAAGATTAGAAAAGAAAGAGTAAAAAGGAATGAGCAGAGTCTCCAAGAAATATGGGACTATGTGAAAAGACCTAATTTACATTTCATAGGTGTACCTGAATGTCATGAAGAGAATGAATCCAAGCTGGAAAATACTCTTCAGGATATTATTCAGGAAATCTTTCCTAACCTAGTAAAACAGGATAATACTCAACTCCAGGTAATACAGAGAACACCACAAAGATATTCCTCAAGTAGAGCAACCCCAAGACACATAATTGTTAGATGCACAAGAGTTGAAATAAAGGAGAAAATTCTAAGGGCAGCTAGAGAGAAAGGTCAGGTTACCCATAAAGGGAAGCCTATCAGACTCACAGCAGAAACCCTACAAACTAGAAGAAAGTTGGGGTCAATATTCAATATCCTCAAAGAAAAGAATTTCAACCCAGAATCTCATATCCGGCCAAACTAAGCTTCATAAATGAAGGAAAAATAAAATTTTTCACGAGCAAGCAAGCACTCAGAGATTTCATCACCACCAGGCCTGCTTTACAAGAGCTTCTGAAGGAAGCATTACACACAGAGGGGAACAGCCAGTATCGGTCATCCTAGGAACTTACCAAAAGGTAGAGAGTATCTCCACAGTGAAGAATCGGTGTCAACTAATGGGCAAAATAGCCAGATATCATTAAATGACAATATTAAACTCACAAATGTTAATATTAGTCCTAAATTTAAATGGATTGAGTGCCCCAATCAAAGACACAGACAGGCAAATTGAATGGAAAGTCAGGATCCATCAGTGTGCTGTATCCAGATCCATCTCATGGGCAAGGACACACAAAGACTCAAAATAAAGGATTGGAGGAGGACTCACCAATCAAATGGAGAGCTAAAAAAAAAAAAAACAAAAACAAAAAAAACAGGAGTTGTAACTTTCGTCTCTGACAAAATAGACTTTAATAGTAGCAAAGACTAAAAGAGACATGGAAGGACATTACATGGTGGTGGAGGGATTAGTACAACAACAGGAGTCAGTGATTATAAATATATATGCACTCAGTGTAGGAGCACCCAGATACATAAGACATGTTCTTAATGACTTATAAAGAGACTTGGACTCCCGCACAATAATAGTGGGAGGCTTTGACACCACATTGTTAATATTTGACAGATCAATGAGATAGAAAATTAATAGGGACATCTATGATTAGAAATCAGACCTGGAACAAGTGAACTCAGTGAATATTTATGGAATTCTTCACCCCAGGTCCACAGAACATACATTTCTCTCAGTATCACATTACACCTATTGTGAAAGTGACCACATAATGGGAAGTAAATCACTCTTCAGCATTTGCATAGCATTTCACAGACTTAAATGAAATATTTGTTGGCTGTTTGTTTGTTATTTTCTTCCCTTACTCCTTCCTGTCCCCACTGTTAAGCACAATTATCAGCACAAAAGAGGTTTTTAATACCTATTTTTAGATTGCATTCCAGCCTGGGCAATAGAGCAAGACTTCTGTTCTCTCTCCCCCTTTTTATTTCTCTTTCTTTCTTTCTTTCATATAAAAAGAAAAAAGAAAAAAAATAAAGCATTCTTACAATATCTAGACAATACCCTCCAAAGGGCAAATATAAGTTATTGTCTTTAAGGAGGAGACAGAGAATAAGAGAGAGAGAGGGAGAGAGAGACAGAGAGAGGAAAGAAACATTGTAGTAGAAAGTTCGTTCCAAGGGATAATAGAGAACTTTCCAAACCTAGAGAAAGATATTAATATTCAAGTACAAGAAGAGTATAGAACACTAAGCAGATATAACACAAATAAGACTGCCTCAGGACATTTAATAATCAACCTGCCAAAGATCAAGGGTAAAAAAGTATTCTAAACGCAGTAATAGAAAAACAAAACAAGTAACATACAAAGAACTCCAATATGTCTGGCAGCAGACTTCTCACTGGGAACTTTGCAGGCCAGTAGAGAGTGGCATGATGTATTTAAATTGCTGGAGGAGCAAAACTTTTATCCTAGAATAACATATCTGGTGAAAATATACTTCAAACACAAGGAAAAAACAGATGTTTGCAGACAAATAAATTCTTAGGTATTTAGTTAATACCAAACCTGTTCTACATGAAATGCTAAGGGGAATTCTTTAGTCTGAAAGAAAAATATATGACTGAACAATAAGAAATCATCTAAAGGTACATAACTCACTGGTCATAGCAGATATATAGACAAACACAGAATATTATAATGTAGTAACCGTGGTGTGTAAAGTTCTCATCTCTTGCAGAAAGATTAAAAGATGAACCTATCAAAAATAATAAGTATGACAACTTTCCCAGACATAGATGATATAATAAGATATAAAGAGAAACAACAAGTTAAAAGTTGAGGAGCTGAAGTTAAAGTGTAGAGTTTTTATTAGCTTTCTATTTGCTGGTTTGGTAGTTTGCTTCTTTATGAAATCAATGTTAAATTGTCATCAATATAAAAAATGGATTGTAAGATGTTATTTGCAATCTTCATGGTAACTTTACATTAAAAAGCCTCCAGCATATACACAAAAATAAAAAGCAAGAAATTAATGCTTTTGAAAATCATTATGAAATTTTCAATCATATGAGAAAATCATCTTCACACAAAGGGAGACAGGGAGGAAGGAAAGAAGAAAAATAAGATGGCAAAACAAACAGAAAAGAAATTTTAAAATGGCAGAAATAATTTCTTACTCCTATCAATTTTTGTCAATAATAACATTGACTGTAAATGGACTAAACTCTCTAAATCAAAAAATACGGAGTGACTGAAGGGATTAAAACAAAAAACAAGACCCAATGATCTGTTGTCCACAAGGAACATACTTCATCTATAAAGACACACAGACTGAAAATAAAGGAATGGAAAAAGATATTCTATGCAAATGGAAACAAAAAAAGAGCAAAGAAACTATACTTATATCACATGAAATAGATTTCAAAAGTATAAAAAGAAAAAAGGTTATTATACAATGATAAAGGTGTTCATTCAGCAAAAGGATGTAGCAATTGTAAATATATATACACCTAACATTCAAGCACCCAGATATATACTACAAATATTATTAGAGCTAAAGTGAAAGAAAGGCTCAAATACAATAAAAGCTGGAGACTTAACACCCTACTTTCAGCATTGGGCAGGTCATCCAGACAGAAAATCAAGAAACATCTAACTTAATATGCACTATAGACCAAATGGATCTAATAGATGTTTACAGAATATTTCATCAAATGGCGGCAGAATACACAATCTTCTTAGCACGTGGATCATTCTCAAGGATAGGTTGTATGTTAGGCTACAGAAAAGTTTTACATTTAAGAAAAATAAAATTATATCAAGTATCTTGTCTGACCACAATGAAATAAAACTAGAAATAATAATAAGAATTTTGGAAACTCTGCAAACACATGGGAATGAAACAGTATGCTCCAGAATGACCAGTAAGTTCATAAATAGATTCAGAAGGAAATTTAAAAAATTATTTAAACAAATGAAAGTAGAAATGCTATGAACCAGAACTTATTGGATATGGTAAAAGCAGCAACAAGAGAAAAGTTTGCAGCAATAATTTCCTACATCAAAAAGTAGAAAAGTTTCAAATAAACATTAGGATTCATCTTAAAGAACTAGAAAAGTAAAAGCATAATAAACCTAAAATCAGTAGAAGAAAAAAAATATTAAAGATCAGAGCAGAAATAAATAAAATTGAGATAAAAATACAAAAGATCAATGATATTTGGCCATTTTAACAATATATAGATTAACAGCTATTTGTTTTAAATTAACAATGATATTCTTCACAGAATTATTTTTTTAAAAACCTATTTAAAAATCCATATGGAACAAAAAAGAGCCCAAATAGCCACAGCACTTCTAAGCAAAAAGGTCAAAGCTGGAAAGATCATCTTACCTGACTTTGAAGGATACTACAAGGCTACAGTAACCAAGGACCTTATATTAGTATCACATTACCCAACTATAACATAAAGCTATAGTAACCTAAACAGCATAGCACTAGTAGAAAAATAAACACAAGATGAATGGAACAGAATAAAGATCACTGAAATAAATCCTTACACCCACAACCAACTCATCTTTGACAAAGTTGACAAAAATAGACAATGTAGAAAGAAACCCTATTTGATAAATGGTGCTGGGAAAACTGGCTAACCATATGCAGAAAAATAAAACAAGACCCTACCTCTTACCATATGTGAAAATTATCTAATGATAGATCTAACACTTTTAGGGAGTGTAAATTAGTAAAGACTTAGATGTACAGAACAGAGGCCTTGGAGGCAACATCACACATCTACAATCATCTGATCTTTGACAAACCTGATAAAAATGAGAAATGGGGAAAAGATTCCCAGTTTAATAAATGGT